CTCCAGGTTGAGCTGTTGTTTAGCATCTTAGCTGTGGAGGGCAGTGTCACTGGCCCTCATATGTGGGATCCGAACCAGGGCCCTCTGGCGTCCCAAGCCAGCTCTTAATCAATGCGTCACTCAGCTGGCCCATGAGTACATTCTTTTGAAAAGCAAACAGAACATTAACAACATAATCCATGTTGTGTCATTTTTTAATTTTGGAAAATTTTAAAGAAATTATATAATACAAAGATATTAAATTAGAAACCATGACAAGAAGATATGTGAAAAATTCCCAGGTGTTTGTAAGTAACACACTTCCAAGTAACCCATGGGTCAGAGGAAATCGCAAGGTATTGTTCAACTAAATAAAAATTAAAATACAACAAAAATTCGTAAATGGTGCTTAGAACAAAGTTTATAGCATTAAATGCCTATACGTATCGGCACTTCTGGATTATGGTTCAGCACATGAGAAACTTAGAAGTCTTCATTCTGTCCTAACAAGTAAAAGGCTGAACAAACTGAAAAAAATCAACAGCTCTTCTTAGATCCACCAAAGCAGTGAGATCTGCCCCAAAATTGGAGAAATAGGGAGATGGATATAGAAAATCACAATGTACACCAGCAGAAATCTCTATGGGAACCAGTATCAGAGTAGCAAAACCTCAAGCATAATTGACAAATTGCTGAAGGCTCTGTGTGGACACAAGTCTGAGAGATAAAAATTCCAGAAGGACCCAGTCATAGGGAAAACATACTTTTTTGAGTTTTACCTCCAGGAGCTCTACCAGGTCTTCACAGTGAGTATCAGAAGAAAAAGTACACTCATGCTTCTGGCAGGGAAGGGGGAAAGGAACAATTCTAAAATAAGCCACGGTATTCTGTTCTTAACAAGCCCTGCTCACAGGAGAAGCTATTTTACCAAAGCATAACTTGCTAGGGTTATATCAGAGCCTAAAGTTCATAGGTAAGGGATATAATCCAACTCCACTCCCTCACCCCCAGCAGCGTCCTATCCCATCAAAAGAGTTGGGCGGGGTGGGGGTGGGGGTGGGGGTGAGTTGAGAATCACTTGGGAAGTTCACAGGGGGGGGGGCGGCACAGGCTAATCAAAAGACTGAGAACTCATCACAGCGCTACAGAATGCCTCCCCTCTCCCCACGCCTTATCACCACATCACTAAAGGCCTATTTACCACAGTTCCTTTTATCCAGTACATCATATTTTCCTTTCAACAAAAAATTATGAGGCATGCTAAGAGGTAAATATAGCTTGAAAAGAATGAACAAGCATCAGAACCAGAGACAGATTTTTTGGCAGCATTGTTGAAGTTATCAGACCAGGAATTTTTGAAACTATAATTAATATGCTACGGGATTTAATGTAAAAAGACAGCATGCAGGACAGATGGGTACTGTAAGCAGAGAGAAGGAAATTCTAAGAAACAAAAAGGAATACTTGAGATCAAAAACACTGAAACAGAAATAAAGAATTCCTTGATTTTGTCATTAGTAGACCAGGCATGGCTGCTGGTTATGAGACAATAACTTCTCAGAGCTTGAGGATATGAAAATAGAAACTTCCAAAAATTTAAAGAAAAGAGAAAAATGACTGAAAATCACAGAACGCTATATCCAAGAACCATGGGGCAACTAATATAAAAGGTGTAACAAAGGTATAATGGGAATACCAGAAGGAAAAGAAAGAAAAAAAGAAGGGAGCGGAGGGGAGGGGAGAAGAAAAACATTTGAAGCAATAATGACTAAGAACGCCCCCAAAATTAATGTTAGAAACCAAACCACAAATCAAGGAAGCTCTGCAAATACCAAAAAGATAAATGCCCAAAAAAATGACACCTAAGTATACCATATTCAAACTGCAGAAAATCAAAAATAAAAGAAAAAATCCTGAAAGAACCCTAAGGGGAAAAAGTCTTAAAAAAGCAAAGATAAGAATTATATTTGACTTCTTCTCAGAAACAACGCAAGCAAAAAGAGAGTGATGCGAAATATTTCAAGTATCAAGAGAAAAAAACACAACAACCTAGAATTCTACACACCACAACAGTATCGTTCACAAGTGAAAGACAAAGACTTTCTCATAGAAACAAAAATGGAAGGAATTTGTTGCCAGTAGACCTGCCTTGCAAGAAATGTGACAAGTTCTTCAGACAGAAGAAAAATGATACAGGTCAGAAACATGGATTTACATAAAAAAACAAAAGCATCAGAGAATGAATCAATGAAAGTAAAATAAAAACTGACTTCTCTTATTCTTAATTGATATAACTATTCAAAATAACAATAGCTACAATGTATTTGATTATATAGTCTTATGCATACGTATACATACATATTTATGTATGCTTATATATGTGAAATGAATAATAGCATTGTCAGAAAGGATGGAAGATAGGAATTAGGAATAATTTTGTATTAAAAGGAACTTGTAGTACTGTGAAGCAGTATAGTGTTATTTGAAAGTGTACTTCAATTAGCTGTAAATACTTATTGAAAACACCAGGGCAACCATGAAGAAAAAAGTGTAATTGATATGTAAGAAATGAGAAAAAATGGAATCATATAAAATGCTCAATTAAGGCGGGGCAGGCCTCGCCCGCACAGGGAGGATGTGGCGGCTATAAAAGCCCCACCCAGGCTGGGGATGCTTGCAGCTCTCTGCGCTCGGCCCAGCTTCTCGCAAAATATCTACTGTTCACGAAATCCTGTGCAAACTCAGCTTTGGAGGGTGACCACTCTACACCCCCAAGTGTATACAGCTCAGTCAAAGCCTACACCAACTTTGATGCCGACTGGGATGCTTTGAACATTGAAACAGCCATCAAGACCAAAGGTGTGGATAAGGTCACCATCGTAAACATCTTGACCAATCACAGCAATGAGCAGAGACAGGATATTTATTGCCTTTGCCTACCAGAGAAGGACCAAAAAGGAACTTCCATCAGCGCTGAAGGCAGCCTTGTCCGGCCACCTGGAGATGGTGATTTTGGGCCTATTGAAAACACCCACTCAGTATGATGCTTCGGAGCTGAAAGCCTCCATGAAGGGGTTGGGGACAGATGAGGACTCTCTCATTGAGATCATCTGTTCACGGACCAATCAGGAGCTGCAGGAAATTAACAGAGTCTACAAGGAAATGTACAAGACTGATCTGGAGAAGGACATTGTTTCTGACACATCTGGGGACTTCTGCAAGCTGATGGTTGCCCTCGCAAAGGGGAGAAGAGCAGAAGATGGCTCTGTCATTGATTATGAACTGATTGACCAAGACACCCGGGACCTCTATGATGCCACAGTGAAGAGGAAAGGAACTGATGTTCCAAAGTGGATCAACATCATGACTGAGCGGAGCGTGTCTCACCTCCAGAAAGTATTTGAAAGGTACAAGAGCTACAACTCTTATGATATGTTGGAGAGCATCAAGAAGGAAGTCAAGGGAGACCTGGAAAATGCTTTCCTGAACCTGGTCCAGTGTATCCAGAACAAGCCCCTGTATTTTGCTGACCGGCTGTACGACTCCATGAAGGGCAAGGGGACTCATGATAAGGTCCTGATCAGAATCATGGTCTCCCGCAGTGAAGTGGACATGTTGAAAATTAGGTCTGAATTCAAGAGAAAGTACGGCAAGTCCCTGTACTACTACATCCAGCGAGACACCAAGGGTGACTACCAGAAAGTGCTGCTGTACCTGTATGGTGGCGATGACTGAAGTCTCCAATGGCTCGAGTGTCCAGGAACAATGCTCTTATGCTTGCAGCTAACAATTATAGAAAACCAGCTTGCAACTAACAGCCCCTGTGCCCATCCCTGTCAAGATGATGTTAGTGTAGCCTGTTGCTCCATCCTCATTTCAGATGCCTAAGCATTGCCTGGCATTCCCATCTAGTCTCTCCTTTTAGCCAAAGAAATGAACATTCCAAGGAGCTGGAAGTGAAATCGATGATGTGAAACACTTTGCCTCTTGTGTACTGTGTCATAAACAGACGAATAAACTGAATTTTTACTTTAGAATCAACTACAAAAAAAAAAAAGCTCAATTAAAAACTATATACAAAAGGTAGCAAATATGTGGAAGACAAGAATCATGAATAAAGACTAAGGGCTAAGGGCGACAAATTTAAAAAACAGTAACAAATTTGGCATATTTTAAACTTGCCTGTATAAACTATCTAAACATACCAATTGAAAGACAAATTTCAGGGTGGATCAAAAAATAAGACTCATGGGGGCCGGCCGAGTGGCTCAGTTGGTTAAGAGCTCGCTCAAGAGTTTGAGCTCTGAGCAACAGCGGTTCGAGTCCAGCCCGAGCTGAGCAACCGCTGAGCTGCCAACAGGTAGCAGGATGGCTCAGCCAAAAAAAAAAAAAAAGACTCAACTATAGGTTGTCTTAAAGAAATTCACTTGAAATATAAAGATGCATATTGATTAAAAATCAATGGATGGAAAAAGATATACCATGCTAGCACTAATCAAATCAAAGAGAATAGTTATATTAATTTTGGACAAAGAAAATTCAGAGCAAGGAAAGTTACCAGGGATACAGAGTAGCATTATATAATTATAAAGGTTGTCAATACTGCAAGAAGACACAACAATCCTTAATCTTTATGTGCCTAACAACAGAGCATCGAGATACATTAGACGAAAACTGGTAGAATTGCAAAAAGAATTAGATGAATCCACTCAAATAGTTGGAGATTTTAATACTCCTCTATTAAAAAAAATGGACAGATCCAGCAGGCAGGAAATCAGTAGGGGCATACTTGAACTGAACAGCACCACAAATCAACTGGATATAATTGGTATCTATAAAGTACTTTAACCAGTAACAGTAGAATATACATTGTTCTCAGATTCACAGGGAACACTGACCAAGACAGATCACATTTTGAGCCATAAAACACACCTCAACAAATTTTAAAGAATGGAAATATGTAATGTCTGCTGTCAGACCACAACAGAATTAAACTAGAAATCAATTAACAGAAACATAGCTAGAAAATCCCAGAATGCCTCAAGATTGAGCAACACACTTTTCCATTACACATGGGTCAAAAAAGAAAGCTCAAGAGAAACTTTAAAATATTATTAACTAAGTAACAATGAAAATATTACTTATCAAAGCAAAATCTGTGGGATACAGCAAAAGTGGTACTTAGAGGAAAATGTGTAGCATTGAATGCATAAAAGAAAAAAAGAAAAACCTTAAATCAATAATCTAAGCTTCCTCTCTAGGAAACCAGAAACTAAAAACAAATTAAATCAAAATAATCAGAAAAAAAAACACACAAAAAAATCAATGAAATGAAAATAGGAAATCAATAGAAAAAAAAATCAACAAAACCAAAAGCTGGTGATTTGAAAAGATAAATAAGATTGATAAACCTCTAGCCAGGACAACTAAGAATAAAAGAGAGGACACAAATTACTGATACCAGAAATGAAAGAAGGAGAAAGGAACATAACTACAGATCCCATGGAAATTAAAAGGATAATCAGGGAATATGATGAACAACCTTATGCCCACAAATTTGAAAACCTAGATGAAATGTACCAATTCCATGAAAGATACAAGCTGCCAAAACCCACACAAGAAATAGACAATCTGAATAGGCCTATGTCTATTAACAAAATTGAATCAATAATTAATAACCCCCAAAACAGAAAGCATCAGGCCCCAATAGGTTCACTGGTGAATTCTACCAAACATTTAAGAAAGAAATCACACCAATTCTCTACAATATCATTCAGAAGATATAAACAGAAGGAATACTTTCTAACTCATTGTATAAGGCCAGCATTACTCTAATACCAAAACAAAGACATTAGAAGAAAAAAAAAAACAACTACATAACATTCTGCCTCATGAAATAGATGCAAAAATCCTCTACAAAACATTAGTAAGTTAAATCTGACAATATAAAAAGAATATGTACCACAATCAAGTGAGATTTATCCCAGGAATGCAAGGCTGGGTCAATAGTCAAAACTCAATTAATGTAATTCATCACATCAACAAGGTAAAAAAGAAAAATCACATACCATACCAATAGATGCAGAAAAAGCACTTGACAAAGTCCAACACTCATTCACAATAAAAACTCTCAGTAAAGTAAGAATAAAGGAGGAAATTCCTCAAGTTAATAAAGAATACAGTCGGCTTCAACATCCCCGATAAGAGAAAAGCACTTTATTACAGGATAACTTATCCAACTTTAGTTACAGAAGCAAATACAAAGCAGAAACGTAAGAGTTGGCATCCCCTCGCTTTATCATTTTCATACTTTTCACTTTCCTCTTGATTACTGTGATGCTGATTTTCACATCTCATGATCCCTAGCATGAACTGGTGAGGAGGTGACGTGATTATGCAAATTTTTACTTTAAAATTAATAATAAAGTATATATTGGATAAAAAAAAAAAAAAGGAAGAAAGAAATGCAGTCATCTCCAGTCTCCACAGGGGATTGGTTCCAGGACCTGGGAGGATATCAAAATCCATGGATGCTCAAGTTTGTTATGTAAAATGCCATAATATTTGCATATAATCTATGCACATCCTCCCAAATACTTTAAATCACCTCTAGATTGTTTATAATAGCTAATACAATGTAAATGCTATATAAATAGTTGTTATACTGTACTGTTTAAGGAACAACGACCAGGAAAAAAATCTGTACCATGTTCAGTACAAACTCAACCATGATAGGTTTAACTACATAATACACATCAGCAACAACATAACTTTTCCCCCAGATCAGACGAGATCGGGTGCATTCAGGTTAGTATGGCCACAGACAACATAACTTTTTTAAAAATATTTTTGACCCACTGCCGGTTCAATCTGCAGATGTGGAACCTGCGGTTACTGAAGGCTGACTGTATGTACAAAAAACTTACGGCTAACATCCTTAATGATGAGAAACTAGAAGTTTTCCCACTAATATCAGGACTAAGACAAAGATGTCTCTTCTCTCTCATCACTCCTTTTCAACATCATGTTGGAAGTCCCAGCTTATGTAATAAAACAAGGAAATAAAATGTATACTGTTTGGGAAGGAAGAAATTAAACTGTCTTTTTTCACAGATGACATGATTGTCTGTACAGAAAATCCAATAAATGAACAAAAAAACTCCAAGAACAAATAAACAATTACAGCAACCTTGCAGAAATTTGAAATTAAAAACACAATACTATTTACAATAGCACACCACAAAATTAGTTAGGTTTAAATCTAACAGAATATGAACATATATCTGAGTAAAATAACAAAACTTTGATGAACAAAATCAAAGAACTAAATAAATGGAGAGATATTCCAACTCATTAGATAGGAAGACTTAATATCATCAAGAACTCCATTCCTCCCAACTTCATCTACAGATTGAATACAATCTCAATCAAAATTCCAGCAAATTATTTTGAGGATATTGACAAACAGATTTCTTAAGTGCATATGAAGAGACAAAAGACCCAGAATAGCTAACACAATATTAAAGAACAAGAATAAAGTTGGAGTATTGACCTTTCTCAATATCAGACTCACTATAAAGCTACAGTAATTAAGACAGTGTAGTATTGGCAAAAAAAAAATAAACAGATTAACGGAACAGAATAGAGAGCCCAGAAATAGACCCACATAAATACAGTCAACTGATCTTTGGCAAAGTTGTAAAAGCAGTACAATAGAGCAAAGACATGCTTTTCAACAAATGGTGCTAAAACTGGATGAACACATGCAAAAACATGAACCAGGCACAGAACTTACACCCTTCACAAAAATCAAGACAAAATGGATCACAGACCTAAACATAAAACATAAAACTCCTAAATTATAACAAAGGAGAAAACAGGATAATCTTGGGTTTGGCAATAACTTTTCAGATACAACACCAAGGGAATAACCCATAAAAGAAAGAATTGGTAAGCTGGACTTCATTAAAATTAAAAACTTCTGCTCGGGCCGGCCGAGTGGCACGTTGGTTAAGAACTGGCTTGGGACACCAGTTCTGAGCAGCAGGGCCCCAGTTCGGATCCCACATGAGGGCCAGTGACACTGCCCTCTACAGCTAAGATGGTGAACAACAGCTCAACCTGGAGCTGGGCTGCCGTGAGTCACCGGCAACGGCATAGGCTGCAGCCCCTGCTGCAGTGGCTGCCATAAGCTACTGTGTGTGGCCAGCAGCCAGTGTGAGCGGCCGGCAGCTAGTGTGAGCTGCCAAGAGCTGCCGTCCAGAGGCCAGCGACCAATCTGCCTCACCCCGGAAGAGCACAATGATAATACCAACATGGGCCAGTGAAGTGAGGTCCTCCACAACTAGACTAAAGAACAAAAGGACAGCAACTTGCCTGTTCCCCTCCCCCAACTCCTCAATAAAATCTTAACCAAAAAAAAAAAAAAATTCTGCGCTAGGAAAGACACTGTCAAGACAATGAAAAAAATAAGCCACAGAATGCAAGAAAATATTTGCAAACGACAAATCCGATTTAAAAAAAAAAAAGCTATTGAAGATATATTTAAAACTCTTAAAAGTCAACAGTAAAAAAAATAAAGTCTGATTTTTAAAAGGGCCAAACACCTTAACAGATAACTCACCAAAGAGATATACAGATGGCAAACAAGGAGAAGAAAAGATGCTCCACATCCTATGTCAGCAGAGAAATGCAAATTTAAACAATGAGACAGATACCATTATACTGTCTCAATATCCACAACACTGCTAACATCAAATACTGGTGAGGATGTCAAGAAAAAGGAACTCTCATCTATTTCTGGTGGAAATGCCAAGTAATCCGGTCATTTTGGAAGACAGTTTAGCAATTTCTAACAAAACTAAACATACCATGTGATCCAGCAATTACACTGCTTGGTATTTACCCAAAGGAGTTGAAAAATTACGTCCAAACAAAAACCTACACACAAATGTGTACAGATCTTTATTCATAATTGTCAAAACTTGGCAGCAACCAAGATGGATTTCTATAGGTGAATGGATAAACTGTGGTACATATAG